ACACTGGACTTCAAGCATCTTGCAGTGTGTGCCTCTCCATTCTTCCTCCATACTCTGGGTCCTTGGTTTCCAAATGAGATGCAAAAGTTGCTCTCATCAGAAACTTTGGACCACTGAGCAACAGACCAGGTCTGTTTTTCTTTAGCCCAGGTAAGACGCTTCTGACGTTGTTTGTTGTTCAGGAGCGGCTTAACAAGAGGAATACAACACTTGAAGCCCATGTCCAGGATCCATCTGTGTGTGGTGGCTCTTGATGCACTGACTCCAGCCTCAGTCCACTCCTTGTGAAAGTCCCCAACACTTTTGAATGGCCTTTTCCTGACAATCCTCTCCGGGCTGCGGTCATCCCTGCTGCGTGTGCACCTTTTTCTTCCACACTTTTCCCTTCCACATAACTTTCTATTAATGTGCTTTGATACAGCACTTTGGGAACATCCAACTTCTTTTGCAATTACCTTTTGAGGCTTTTCCTTCTTATAGAGGGTTTCAATGATGGTTTTCTGCACAACTGTCAGGTCAGCAGTCTTTCCCATGATTGTGATTCCTACTGAACCAGACTGAGAGACCATTTAAAGGCTCAGGAACCCTTTGCCGGTGTTATGGCTTAATTAGCTGATTATAGTGGGACACTTTGAGCCTAGAATTTTGCACCTTTTCACAATATTCTAATTTTCTGAGATTGTGGATTTGGGGTTTTCATGAGCTGTAAGCCATAATATTACAATTATGACAAATCATGGCTTGAACTATCTTGCTTTGCATGTAATGAGTCTATCTCATATATTAGTTTCACCTTTTAAGTTGCATTACTGAAAAAAATGAACTTTTGCACGATATTCTAATGTTTCGAGTTTCACCTGTAATTTCCTGCTTGTGTGATTGGTTGACTGATTTTACCCAAAAGTCTGCTCCAAGCTACAAGTCAGATTTTAGACACACCCCTGCAACAAAAATTAAATTTTTGGTAAGATACTCCCAAAGGGTTATTTACTTCTAAAGGGATTCAGAATCTGCAAATTTCCACATTAGAACATTGCAAGTGTATCAGCTGATTATTAATGGAAAAGCCATTTCCATTCAGCTTCACTTTGCACATTGACATAGTCAAACATACAGCTTTTTCTTCATAACAGAAACAGGTAGGAGTCTGTAACCACATTTACAGCGGTAGTAAACTCTGCTTTTGAACTTTTACCTTACCGATAAGCCTACAATAAGGCTTACCTGTAGGTACAGTGAATATCTCAAACTTGTGGTGTGTAGGAGATATTCACATTTGAAGACATCAGTGACGTCACTGGTGCATACACACTGCGTTCTGAATTGATGGCACACTGAGTATGCCATCAATTTAGAGCTCTGTGCCACGGCCATGGTTCCCATGCGCATGAACAGGAGTGACATAATCACAGCTCGGCCATTCAGAATGCCGGAGCCCCCAAACCCAGACAAAAAACTGGGTGAAAATGGAAGCCCTGTCAGTGGTGACAGTGAGCCCCTGAGGGGCTTTGTTTTAAGGTAAGTCTGCCATAATGTGCTAGTGCAGTGCTTAAATCAACTGGGGGGACCTTTTTTTTATTCAAGGAGTTTACTGCCATTTTAAAATCCTTGCAATGTACTTTTATCACCAGAAGAAATTGTTTTTTTGCTCAACAAAAGTAGAGTTACTTTTAAATGTGTACATTTTCCTGGCTTTCATTCTGGCTTTTTTATCCAGTGAGCCATAGAAAAAGCATACCATTATTAAAGTCGGAAAGTCCTGTATGCTTGTTCCAGATCAATGACTCATTACATAGTAAGGTGCCAAGCATTTGGTAAGGTAAGATAAAAAGCTTCTGCTCCAGAAGTTAGTTTAGGCTTATGCTACTGAAATCCTCCCCAGGATTGCTCTGTTAGTCCGGTGTACATTGTATTACAGTAACAGTTGGCATGTCATAACCAAAGGGGACTCTTTGATACTCTGAAAAAGGCTGGCTTTAATTCAATGTGACTTTTGATAAAAACTACTTCCAGATTTTACAAAACATTTCTAGCACTTTTCTTCCTACACACCAATCACTATGTAGCAAAAGGATAGAATAGTGGACACGGAGTCTGCAACTTCTAAAACAAGTCAGCAATGGCAGCTCACATATTTCTGTTCTCACAGGTTGACTTTCAGCAAGCCTTCTCTGTTCAGATCATACAAACTGGCTAGGTTGGATGTATTTACTAGCAGAATATAGAAATTTGTGAACTTCATGAGCAGGGTGCAGCATGGTGTGTTGGCAAGCAGTAGTCACACAGAGGTTGAGGTGAGCGAGAACAGTGTATTACAAAATACTATATAATCTAGCCCGGTGGGTAGGCATAGCTGTCTGGAGCCACTTCCGAAACTATGGCATGGGTCTGGTAACTACAGATGATGCCGACCGTTTCTGCAATGAGGAGCGGGAATGTGGCCTGGGTGGTTCACACCCAAATGGGAGGCATCTTAACCTCCCTGGCGGTATGATTATTTCAGATTTTTGGTGCTGAAAGCAGTACCATTATTTTGCATGGAAATTTGACATTTTATATTGTAGGCCTGTAATTCTTAGGAATAACTCACTGAAATCTGTCCGAACAAGAGTCTAGTAAACATCCCGGGTAGGATAAAACTTGAAACACGAAATCATAAATTATAATTTAATAAATAATCATAAAAAATAATAATAATAAATTTAATTCAATAATATAATCAAACCAAAAACACTGAAATTTGAAATATAGCGAAGTTCGCACATCACTGAGCAAAGTCGCAAAATCGTTTTCAGTGTCTGATGACGAATTTCCCCACGAATCATTATCACTCAATTCTGCAAGTGGTTCTAATTTACTATCGCTATTCTCTAGCTGGTCTAAAACCGCTTTTGACCTAAAGGGATGCTTTTTGGACGCCATGGACATTTCTCAGTTTCCAGGCAGAAAGAACAGTAAAAATGCAGGCAGGGCACAGGACAAAATGTATGTGAAATGGTTTGATACAATAATGTTTTACTATGTGATTTTAGGGATTTTTGTGAATGTCACTTTTTGTCATTTTCAAATTTCCCTCCGTTCCGTCCCCCGTACGTCCCGACGCTCGCAGGGGACGGAACCCAGATGACAGATGCCGGAATCTGCCAGATTACATTGCCGGGGACACTGCAGGAGGGACATCGCGGGAGCGCGCAGGACAAGGTAAGTGATTGAGGGATCGCGGAGCAGCGCCGCATGGTAAGTGCAGCTCGGGGTTACCGCTTGTGGTGCTGAAACTTTACCCCGAGCTACACTCGGGAATACCACCATGGAGGCTACAGCTGAGGACTGGTGTTGTCCCTACTCCTCCTGAACCTCTCTCTTAGGCTGCATTTACACTTGAGTGTTTTGTAGCTTGATACTCGAAAAATTCTCAAACTTAAAAAATCAATTATTCTCTATGGTGTCTGTTCAAGCGATCAGGTGTGAACAGGCACCATAGAGAACAACTGATTTGATAAGCTTCAAGCTACAAAACGCTCATGTTTGAATGCAGCCTTACTCTTAACACTCTACTACATGCTGGATGTCCAATGCGCTCCTGTGCCTTTAGAGAGGGGTGGGCTCCCTCAGGGCAATCTGCCCTTGGTCTATCCATTAAATACATGTGCCTCTACTATGGGGGCTCTTAAAATTGGAGAGTTAGGAACTACAGAATACTGGTGTGCCGTGACGAGGCTCTGTAGCTTATGCATGTATTTGTAAATATGTGGTAACTAAACCCCTATTTTTAACAGGTTAATTCGGTTTGTTTGCAGGCTGGCTAGTAAGTTAGAGCTGGGAATATTTCTTTTTTGTTGTTTGACATGCGTCACCCTTCCATGTGCTCCTTGCTGTGAAGGCCAGTTATAGAATGGGGCAATAGACATTTTTTGTACTTTTTTTACTCTTAACACTCTCTCTGAACCTGTCCCTACACTAACCACTTGCAAGAATGCACACCAACACAGGGAGTCAGTGTCTTAAATAAGCCTTCACTCACCTTCCTTTCTCTTCTGTATTGCTGCTGTGATCCAGCACCACTTACCAATGGAAGGACACACTGCACCTGCCTACAACTTTAAGGTTCTAAACACGTGCTTTATTTATTCCTAGCTTCTAAACATTTCTCTGAAGACCATGAGATTCAGCAAGCCATTACAAAGCATTTAGTACTCTGAGAAAATTTTCTTAAAGCCCTTAAAATACTCTTTAGCTTAAAGCTAGGTACACATTGTAAGTTTCTTCATTTAACCAGCGGGCTGAACGCCAAAAAAAAAAACAAACAAACACATAGATTCCTGCATCTACACAAGCAATGTGGATGCAGGGAACTCCCATGCTGCACTATTGGATTTTGACAGTGGGGACACCTCCCCTCAGGGACACCAGCCATTGGCTGCAGTGGTTGATTGAATGCTGTTTTTTCAGCAGGACTGTTCAATAGTAGTCCATCTAACAAATGACTTCTGTTGAACAGAGAGAGGTACTCACTGAGAAAAGAAAAATGGGATGACCATCGGGTGGTAGGAGGTCAAGACCCAACTTATGCCATAGTGCCACATCCCTATTAATTGATAATGGAGAAAAGGATATTGAGCCGATTATTTAGGCACAGAAACTCAGTACACAATAAAAAAATCAATGTTCCTTTATTGACATATCATCTCTAAAATATATCTTGTGTATAATTACCATATTTTTGGCTCCATAAAATGCACTTTTTTCCCTCTAAAAGTAAAGGGAAAATGTCAGTGCGTCTTATATGAATATGGAGCAGCTGGTCCAGTATTTCCACTGTGTCAGAATACCAGCTCTTCTCTGTAGCAGGACCTTACCTGTTCCTCGGTCCAGTGCTGTAGTCTTCCCGCGCCGGCATCTTTAGTATGGACACCCGACTGTGACAGCCAGGTGCCCACTGCGCATGCGTGAGCAGCGCTGCGCTTTGTGAATGGCCCGGCGTCTTCTGGGACACATGACAGGTCCCAGAAGATGCCGGGCCATTCACAAAGCGCAGCGCTTTTCGTGCATGCGCAGTGGGCACATGGCTGTCAGCCGGGTGCCCACACTAAAGGGAGGACAACTCCGCGGAAGTGGGAGCGGGTACCTGTCAAATTCAGGTACCCGCTCCCCCTCCCTCCCCAAAGGTACACAGTCTCTGGTCATCCCCTGTACTGTCTGCAGTCTCTTGGTCATCCCCTGTACTGTCTGCAGTCTCTGGTCATCTCCTGTACTGTCCGCAGTCTCTGGTCATCTCCTGTACTGTGTCCGCAGTCTCTGGTCATCTCCTATACTGTGTCCGCAGTCTCTGGTCATCCCCTGTACTATGCCTGCAGTCTCTGGTCATCCCCTGTACAGTGTCCGCAGTCTCTGGTCATCTCCTGTACTGTGTCCGCAGTCTCTGGTCATTTTCTGTACTATGTCTGCAGTCCATTGGTTCAGAATTATTTTTTTCTTGTTTTTCACCTCTAAAACCTAGGCACGTCTTATGGTCAGGTACGTCTTATGGTCAGGTGCGTCTTATGAAGTGAAAAATACGGTACATTGCACACTTAACCCATAGCTGATATCCCACAACCAACCAACCATAGGAGACTGGTTCCAACAAAGTGTTCAGTTCAGATGGTGAGGATGGTCAGGTACGCACTGAGCTAAATTTGATACGTGTGTACACAGCTTTAGTCTATAAAATATCTTAAAGGAACACTGTCACAAAAAAAATTGTATTCTGATAAGTGTATGGGCATATGCTTTAAATGTTCTCTACACATACAAATGTAAATAAAAGTATGGGAATAAAAAAGGAATTTATATACTAAGTAACGTCATTACATATACAGTGTTAACTGCATACAATTAGAAAACAATTATTTTCAGATATGCCGGCTGTAGCTTTAAGCAAGGTTTTAGCAAACAGTAGCACTATTTGCAAGTTGCAAAATGCTACATAAGTCTTGGATTGAAAGGTAAGCAAAGTGTACATCCTAACTTTTCTTCAGCTAAGACATTTCCTAAACAGCACTCACAGTTTAACGATTCATTTTACATATTGCCTGCAGTTGCTATTTAATTGTATCCCTAATGCCAGCCTATAATTTATTTATCTAGTTGCTGGTATATTCACTGGAACTATAATTCAACAGATATCCTTTACCTAGAATCCTTGTATTCTCCGGGAAATAATTACTTTTGTATTTTCGGACACCTTTTGCTAACACATCTTTGGTTATTTTTTTTTTTTTTGAAAAGCAATTCTTACCATGCCTATATCACTGGTCTACTCTTAAAATAGGTTAGAAGGTTCAGCATAATATTCCCACTAAAACTGCATGGTATGTGTCTGTCTTTGTGACTTTGTACATAAAGGCAGTAATGATTAAATTTTTCATTTCTCTTATTTTCAGCACTGTCTGCATAATGGGTGTTCATATAATGAATCCCACTTCCATACATACCTATTTTCAATTTAAGTATACCTTTTGCATAGAACTTTATTAAGTGCTGTTTAACTATCTTGAGGCAATTTTCTCTGTAATAAACAAATGAGTTAAACCAATAACTGAAAACCATTTACTGTCATGGTTTGTTTAAAACAAGCCATTTGCTGTGCAAAACATCCAAAAACAATGACATTATATAGATTGATGTGTTTTTCCTTTTAGCTTGCCTGTGCTCTCCATGATGAACTGATCTTTTCACCTGTCTTGTACCCTTCCAGTGTTTCCCTTTGTGTTGGCTCTTTTAATGTTTTCAGAATACTATAATCATAGAACAAAGGTTAGGGTTTTTTTTTTCTCTTTTATTGAAGCTTTTATTCAGCTACCTTAGTTGCCATATGTTCTTTCGCTAGGAGGCAGACCAGACAAAAAGCTGAAATATCTGTATGTAAGCGTTAAATGCCTCGTGATCCTCCTATGTGTTCCGTCTGATGGAAAGTTCTATGCTTTAGTCAATGGAAGGAGACTGTGCTGTTTTACCATTATAATAAAGTGTTTCATCATGTGCAGAAATGACCTTTTACAATAATGACTTGTAGAAGGTGAATGTAGCAGGCACTTCAAACTAGTGTCTTTTGGGTCACATGCAGTCCTCCTTATCCTTCTCTGTGCACTCAATATTTAAAAATTAAATATTGGTGAAAAAAAAAATCTTATATAAATGAGCAGTTTTCTAATTCAAAAAATGTTTAAGGCCCCTTAGTTAAAGCAGAACCTGAAGGGGAAGGTCCACTTTATACCCTTCCCACTTCTCTGTTGGCACTTTTTTGAGGGGTAGGGGGGAGCAGGTCACCCATTTTGACAATTACCCACTCCCATTTCCAGATGGATTGCCTCATTGGATCCACCAGAAGTTTTCTGGATTCACCAGAAGTTTTCCTCCTCCTTCTCCCTGCGTGCAACTTTTTTGTACACATCACAGGTCCCAAAAGACTTCTGGACCATTCACAAAGTGCGTCACAGTCGGCTGTCCACAGTAAACATGCCAGTGCCAGGGACCTGAAGACCGGCAAAGAACCGGCTCAGGTGAGTAAGACACTGGTCCCCTTGGAAAGGTATGTATCCTTTTATTAAAAGTCAGCAGCTACCGTATTTGTAGCTGCTGACTTTTACATTCTTTTCAAACAGGGCAAAGAACTGCTTTAATTAACAAAGTGCCTTCATTTTTTTTTTACTCAAACAGGTGTGGACCTCTGATAATTTGGCCCCTTGACGGTTAGTTTCACTAAATTTGCCCACTGTTTCATTTGAATTTTTACCTTCTTGATATAATGTAAAAAAAAATATTAAAACCACAAAACAGACAATATTTTTTGGCCACAAAGAGGACACCAACTAGAAAACCGCACAAAAGGGGACAATAGTTTCAATGATTTCAGTTAGCCTAACACACAAAAAAGACAACCATCATAATCAGTAAAGAAAAAATTAAATGCAAAACTAGATCAATTCAATTCAAAATGGTTCTATTAAATGGTCACTTTGCAGGTTTCCTACAGTAGCATATCATCTGCTAGCTTCTTAAAACTCTCAGAGGCTTGGTTGGGACATCTGCCATTGGAAATCCCATCTCTCATCCCACCAAAGTTTTACATTATCACAAGTAATAGTACCATACTGCCCATGCAAGATTTCTATTTATTTCTTTGGAGAACCTGGCGATGTCTCAAGATTCAAAGAGATAGCATATGATCATATGCCATAGCAGGAATGGAGGGGAGTTGGAACCTTTAAGGGGAATCCCCTGTCCAAAATCCCCAAGAGACTTGCCAGCCATACACTAGTAGAATTCTGTTCAAAATGTTTCATTTTAAAGAACATTTTTTGATTTTCTAATTGTTAGTGAGGTTAAATTGACATTTGTTTTCGAACGCAGTGATGAAAAAAGTCAAAGGCGTAAGATAGAAATGTTTGTCTGGAATGAACCAATTTACAACAGTTTGTTATTTTTTTGGTGGTGAGGGGGATTACAGTAATTTCAAAGTGGAATGTTAAAAGCAAAATTTTTAAGTACTTTCAAATGACATTTGTCAAGTCATCAGATGTACTGAGAATAATCATATGAACATTTGTTCAAACATCTACTAGTGTATGGCCAGCTTAAGGCAGTACTTCAGTCAGGTTTAAAAAAAAGTCAGCAGCTACAAATACTGTCCTTACCCAGGCTGGTTCTTTTCTGGTCTTGAGATTTCCGGCACTGGCATGTCTAGAGTGGGAATCTAACTGTGACTCCTTGCGGCTTCATGCTGCATATGCATGAGCCATGCTGTACTGTGTGAACGGTCCTGCAGCCTCCTGGGACCTGTGACTTGCTCCAGAAGGTTGTGGGCAGGGGTATGGGGGGCTTGGGAGAACTTCTGGTGGAATCACCTAGGTAATTCTAGCAAAAGTGGGAGCAAATACCCGAGAAAACTAGGTACCTGCTCCCCCCAAAAAAGAAGTTTCAAAAGAAGAAGAGGAGGCAAAGAGGACATTTAGGATTTAGGATGAAGTTCCACTTCAGTGGTTCTAAAAGCTCAAGGTTTTTTTTACCTTAATGCATTCTTTGCATTAAAGTAAAAAACCTTTTGTAGGACAAAAAAAAAATCCCCCTTATACTTACTGGAGACCAATCCAGCACTGTTGTTCTCTCCTCTTCAACCCCCCTTCCACTGTGCAGATTGACAGCAATGGGAGCCAATGGCTCCTGCTGCTGTCAATCAAATCCTATGACAAGGGAACTGGGGGCAGGACAGCTGTATGTGTCAATAGACACAGGCAATGGGGCTCAGAAGCAAGCCTGCACCAGTGCCCCCATAGGGAGCCATTTCCTATGGAACACTTGCTGCACAGGAGGAATGCAGGGGTACCTCAAAACATAGGTACAGTAGCTGGCAATGCACCCACGATACACATGCCACATGTTGGTGTGCTGCATTGCAAAAATGTTGATATGGCTTTTTCCATTGTGCATTTAGCTGCAAGCAGCACATTTGGATACAGGCATTTGCATTAAGGTTCCCTTGTACCTATTTAAGATGTAGTTTGAATGCTACAATTTAGTCATAACTTTAGTCATAACTTTACTCATGTAAATATTCATGAGCCAAATGCAGAAGGAATTGTATCAAACATTTTCCGCTCTCTATAAACTGCATCCAAGGTGTTTAAAAACTTCAAAACTTCATATAACAGTGTTACAACTATGAATTGGGTTTTAACATAGTAGCTCTCATTTGTGATGTTTTATCCACTTTAAATATCATTACCCTACCACAAGCTATTTAATGAGCATTTCAGTAAACACGGCACAGCAATGTCATTTACTAAACATCATGAAATGTCAATGCATGTTTTTATACAAAACAAATGATATTATGCATGCATTTCTTCCCACATCACTGTAGTGTCAAATACAACTACATACCCAAAAGAATTACATTGAACTGTAAGCAAAGGAACATTGGCAATCACATCAACTGATTGAATCCAAAATACGACCGAAGTAATCAAATGTTCTCAGCTCCAGTACTATGAAATTGTTTTACTTCTTCCAATGTTCCTTTTAGCTCACTTGTGCCATTTTTGAGCCTATTACGTTCAGCGGCAGAAATAGCCAGGTTATTTAATGCCATCCAGGATTCCAATATGTATAGATTTAGGCTGAAAGCACGCTGCCATGTACTTATGATACACTTTCATTGCAGAGAATAGGTGCATTTTAACTACTGTTGTATAACTCTGGCTTGACATTTAATGTATTGTTACGTGATGATGCAGAATTCTGCTTCTTAGAAATAATAATAAGCATCTTGTTCAGGTCTCACAATTCACCTTTTTAAAGTCATGCTGTTACACTTGCCAAAAGATGCTTTATATAGATGGGTCTGTGTGAGCGTACATAGTTGATGAGATGCCATAAGGCCATGAACACGCAATCATCGACTTGTACAAGGGCAGTATGAAAAGCAAGCTGTTACAAAGCAAGCAAGCTTT